CCAGAATAGTTCATCTCAAGCAGCCGGATTCAGTTCCATCCACTCTTCCATCTTATCGGCTTGCTAATCCATTAGTTCCTAAATGCTTCGTTCTGCATGTAAACATCTCTCATCCCTTATTTTGCAAAAGATATCACCGGATTCTTTTACTGTTGTGTCCTTAAACTTGTATGAACAAATCTTGTATTATCTTTATTTTTGTTTATCTTATTTTATGTTCAAATTGTTGTGGACACACCCCCTCTGTTCCATTTTCCCTTTCCGTCTTCAGATGTTAAGTTTGGTTCATATGAAATTTTCTGGTTTCGAACCCCTGTCTAGTACTCCCTTGTTTCCAACGGTTCTCTAGCTGACATCAATTTGTAATCAGACATGATATAAGCCCGATCCCTACCAACTATCTGTTGGAGAATAAAATTCAGTTTAAACGTCAATCGCGTTCATTTCCCAGTATATATTCGTTACCATTGAGATTCAAAATATGTGTGTGACGATTTACTCATATGCACATACGGCTAGTAATATACCTATCAGAATAAAATAGCCTGTTGATAATGAAAATAACGGTGATGTCTAATGTATCCATGGTTATAGTTCTAATTTCATGAGTAATTTTGTTTCATTTTATCGATGTTAATTGTATTTGTATCAATAGTTTTTGGTTCGCAAAGTGAGACCGTATCAAGATATCGTATTAATGGGTTCTATTTGAGCGACTGTTTCATTTTCTGATAAACTGTAAAAATTTTATTTTGGGATACAACGTTGCCTCGCTTCACTCAGCCTTGCTCTATACTTCAGGGTATCAATTTTGCGTTAAATTTCCTTTGAGAGCATCTAAAGTACAGTTTAAAGCCCAGTGTAAAGAATCAATTATTTTTTTGAACAAAACTCGTGTCATTTAGAATGAAAATAACAGCTTTAGGCAGTCTGTTATTTTCGAATATTTTAACTAGCCTAGAGCCATATTCTACTACAGTGCGAAAGTTCGACTCATATGTTATTGAAGCTTTAGTGGGAGAGTAAGAAATTTGATACGGTTTGAAATGCAGCATCCTAGTAAAACTGAGCAAAGTACATAGCTTGTCCAACCTGTATGTGGTAAAAATCATTTGGTATGTTTATGATCTCGCATTCGTAAAAGAGTTTTTTTTTGTAGTTCCTTTTTATAAACAAGTAAAAAATTGGGTCTGCCTTACATTGTCAAAGAAGATTATCATAACTGTTCGTGTGATCACACGGAGTAGCTATGCTCTAAATATTAGAATTTTACCATTATGTGTACATTTGTGGTGTGTTCTACTGATGAGATTTACCAGTGGTATATTAAGAGACATTCATCGGTATAAAAATATCGAATAGATGAGAGATAGATTTCACGTCAAATAGAGGAAATGAGCCAGCGTTACGGTAAAACATTGAAGACAGAGAAACACACAATACGAAGGGCGTAATTAGCACAACATGGAAGATCTGTGCAAATGACAATCTGCAGATAAGGTGTACATGATTTCGACATATAGAAATACCATATTGCAAATAAACATTTCTTTACCAATTATTTTGTCTTGTACCTTTGCAAACTTACCTTTAAAGTTCATTTATTGAACAACAGAACATGCGAGAATTTACAAATGAATTATTTAACACAACTGAACAGCATTCAAGTAACTGCTATGACTATATTTGATTTTTTTTTATTACAGATTGATTCCACACCGTATTTTCAGCATGTGATATCGGTAGCCCGATTTTGTAGGCCGACCATTGATATCAGGTGTGCGTCGGCAGGGAATAGAACCCCGGACCATGTGCATGGTTGGCGAGAGTCCTAACCGCTTTGCCACCGACGCACACAACATAAGATTGAAGTGTCGAATACAGACTATCCTTTGTTAAGTCAAGTATACATAGCACTTCAAATAACAACAATAATAAAGTAATCTTGAGCGGTTCAGATTTAAACCGAAAAAAGACAGAAATCCTATCAAATCAGTATGCAAACACCCGTAATGAGAGTAAATAAGTAAAAAAAGTGGTTTCGGCAGATCTGCTTCGAATATCTAAGATCAAATATTAAATACTTACTTAAATACTCCTGTTGTTGGATTTTGTGTTTGGTTAAATCATTTACATAATTTAACTTGAAGGATAGTAATTAGGTGCTCACTCGCCAACTTCATGGTTCACTTCCACGCTTGGAAGAAGTTCTACTTTTGATGAAAGATGATGCTTGTAAGAAATTTTTAAGGAATTCAGATTACTTTGTAAACTTTTATCATAATTATTGTAGTTTTCTTTATTTTTACTTATTATTCTTGAAGTCTGTTAATTGGATTTGTCGAAGAAGGTACACTGAAAGCTAGTGGGAATGCTAACGCACTATCGAACTCGAATTCATCAGCATTTTATCAATGGCATGGGTATTTCTATACTGTTTTATTATTAGCAGCTGGGCTCATTCGGACAATTCTGTTTCAACAATATTATCACTTCACTTATAGAACTGCGATGAGAATAAAAACTGCAGTTATTGGCATGGTCTATCGTAAGGTACAGTTTTAAGATTTCATATACTGTTGTGGTAAGAATATTGATTTCGTGATTTATTTTTCTTCACATTTTCAATACATAGGTATGGATATTCTAATCAGTTAGTTTTTGAATTAATGATTTTTGTCCCTTAAATAGAAACAACTAGAAGTGAAGAAGTTTCCAACTTGAATGACTCAATAAATACCGAGAGAGTTAACGAAATAATTAATATTACTACTATATTATTAATTAATAACTACAATATTTTATGAATCAAATTACACTGTAATCATTTCTTGTTTTCACAGACCACTCTTTCATATTATGTGCAACAGGTTAAATGTACACCGATGAATTATCTTCCTGAATTAGTAGTTGTATTAGATTTTTATTAAGTCAGAGTCAACCTCTAAATAGTTTGTTATGGTTGATTTTTGCTTGTTGAAAGATTTTAACCATTGTTAGCAATAAATAAGTCAGTTATTATACCTGCTGCAATTTTTTCCTCGTGCAGTAATGCAGAGATAATTTTAATGTGTGGTGAAAGGAATATTACTTCGATATAAATGATAACTGTGGTCACAACAGATGTTTGGTGACTATTTGCTTTAGCATCAAAAATATACAACTTAATTCAGTTTACATTTTTTTGGTTTTCTGGATTGACAACTGTAAACTGAAAAAAACATTAGTCTCTGCTCAAACACCATTAAACTGAAAGACTGAGCAAAATTTTTCAGCATAAGATTCCCAGCCAAGTAGCCTGAGTTAACTAAAACTTGGCCATAGTGTATGCTTTGTCGCTAGCTTTAACTGGTCACTTACAAATGTCCTTGCGTTGTGAATTATGTTTTCATTCTCCTGCTGGCTGGTTGGTTTAAAAGATATACATGCATATATTTAATGACAATGTGAGTAGTAAAAGTTTTACTACATTGTTCTCGTCACAACTGCTTTGCCAAAAGTGTACAAAAATGCATTATTATTCATCTTTCTTTAGTCCCTTAAATTATCCAACTTCGCTAGACAAACTTCAACAACGGGTGAAATTGTGAATCTTGTATCTGTTGATGCTCAAAAATTAGAAGATACACTGGTTAACATTCACATGTTATGGTCTTCGCCATTTTTAATTATATGTTCACTAATCTTATTGTGGTATCAACTCCAGTATGCTGTTCTGGCTGGCGTACTAACAGCGGTTGTTTTAATTCCACTCAACGGATATGTTGGTGTTAAGGTTAAAAAATTAAATGTAAGTTTGATAAACTACATTTTTTGCAGCTTATTGATATGTTTCACTGATATGTCATTTAGCATAGGAAAAATGATAATAATAATAATAATAATAATAATCAAATGCCCATTTCTCAGACACTAAAAGTTATTACAGATGCACATCACGTTCTGGTCTGTATGCTGGTGTTTAGTATTACTTTTAATATTGGGTTATATTCAGTTCAGTTGTGCGTAAAATATACGTCAGTATGTTTAGATCACACTGTAAGTCAGAACAATGGGTTTTCACGATTTTATGCATTCGACTTTGCGTAGCATTCTGGGGAAAGACTGGTGTTTCTCAGTATCTGATTTCAAAATAAGGTGCAAAGTCACGTTAGCATAATTAAATGACTATCTTACGCTTTAGTTGTTTGTCCTTTAGTTTTCAACCCAAAAAACAATTGCACTTATTATCTGGAAAATACTTGAATAATTTTAATCCCGAATGAGTGTTTAAAACATACATATTTATGTTCTAGGCGGAGTAGAACACTTCCGAAACTGCCAATTATTTCTGCTTGTTTTATTCGAGGAAAATATGTTTTTAACTTATAAATAATATGCATTTTATAATTTGTATATTCTTATATTCACATTTGAATGTATGGTTAGAAATGAATTTACTGAATGTATAACTCTTCTTTGATATTATTTGATTTTAACCGGAAAAGTACTTCAGTCTGCGTCTAATGAACTTGATTCCAGACTGCTCATTAGCATGGTTCATGAATGCAATCAAATGCAAATCTTTAGGAAGCCACCTGTTTTAATAATTTATATCAATATTTCCAGGTACATGAAGAAGTTCTAGTTAGTTTTAAAAAAATGCCCAAATGCAATAGAAACACAGATGCTGGCGAATAAATAGTTTGATAAAATTTTTCAATAAATTACTCTGAAATGGTGTAGTACACGTTGATATTATATTATTATTATTGTTCCCTTGGGTTCCTAGTGGAACATAGGGCTTCAACTACACGTCTCCACTTGCTTCTGTCTTCTTCTGTACTTTTCACCTGCGTCCATGTTAATCCATACTGTTTCAGTTCCTCATCACACGATCTCCTCCATGTCACCCTTGGACGTCCCACTCGCCGCTTCCCTTTCGGGTTCCACTCGAGCTATGGCCTGACGCGCGATGTCACCCAACGGCCTCCTCAGCGAGTGTCCTATCCATCTCCACTTTCTCCTGCATATTTGTTGGGCGATTGGTTCCTGTTTTGTTTGTTCCCATAGCTTCTTGTTTGTGATTCTTTCCGGCCATCTGATCTTCAGCATAGAACGAAGACAGTTGTTGATAAAGGTCTGCAACCTGTTGAAAATATTCTTTGTGACCCGCCAAGTTTCTGATCCGTATAGCAAAACTGACTTGACGTTTGTATTGAAAATCCGAATTTTGTTGTTGATGCTGAGTGATGAAGATTTCCAGATTGGTTTCAGGTTGATGAATTTGTTTCTTGCCTTCCCGATTCTCGATATTACGTCGATGTTACTAACAAAATAATACCTTTTAAAATTTCTGAAAACAGACTTCAGCCTAACCCCCGGAAATACCTAGATTTTGCATTTGGCAAGTAGTTTAAATTCTGACAAAAATAATAACGCTTAACTAACCTTCAGATTCCATCTTTGTTGATTGGTTATTTCCTCGATTACACCAGAAGTGGCATGATTTTTGGTTTATTGCAATGTATAGAAAATAATAATTTATATTTAAGTAGACCTAACGCGCCTACAAAAGTCTCAGAAAAAGAGAAGAAGGAGGATTTCTACAGTCAACTACAAACAGTAATGGACAACGTCCCAAAGAGCGATATCAAAATCCTGATGGATGACATGAATGCGAAACTGGGAGGAGACAATACAGGAAGAGAACTCACCATGGGTCATGAGGCCCTCGGTGAAATGAACGACAGAGGTGAACTCTTCTCAGACGTCTGCGCCTTCAATGATTTGGTGATTGGTGGCAGTGTGTTCAAACACAGGGATATACACAAGGCGACATGGATTTCACCAGATGGACACACTAAAAACCAGATAGACTTCATTTCAATCTCAAGGAAGTGGAGACGGAGCCTACTGGACACAAGATCGAGGAGAGGAGCAGATGTGAGTTCAGACCACTATCTAGTACAAGGGACTTTCAAGGTGAAGCTAAAAGTCTCGAAGATAGCTGGGGATAGGCCACAATGCAAGTTCAACACGCAAAAGCTGAAAGACACAATCACAACTGCAACTGTCAGAGCAAAGCAGGAAACACTACATAGCACCACTGAGGAATCATCTGTGGAAGACCATTGGAACTCTCTGAAGGTAATTTTCAACGAAACGTGTTCAACGGTTTTAGGAAGAAAGAAGAAACAAGACAAGGAATGACTCTCAACGGACACTTGGAAGCTAATAGAGGACAGGAGAATGGTGAAAGAGAAAATGATTCAATGCAAAGATGGACAAGAGAAAGAGACGCTGAGCTCAACTTACACAGCACTGGACAAAGAAGTGAAGAAGAGTGCCAGGAAGGACAAAAGACAATTCTACGACAACCTGGCTACTGAAGCTGAGAAGGCAGCAGGCAAAAGGGACCTAAGGACACTATATCAGATAACCAAGTCTCTATCCGGGAAGAGATCAACACAAGTGAAACCTATAAAAGACAGCCAAGGGAACCCAATTACCAAAGAAGAAAGACAGATTAAACAATGGGCGGACCACTTCAAAGGACTCTTGAATCGACCACCACCTACAACCCGTCCAGTAATACCAACAACAGCACGTACACAACTGCAAGTTGACACCAATCCTCCAACGAAAACTGAAGTCATGAATGCAATCAAGCTTCTGAAAGCTGGAAAAGCAGCTGGACCAGATGGACTACCCCTGGAAGCACTGAAAGCAGACCCAGAAACGACAGCAGATATGCTGACTCCATTATTGCAAAAGATCTGGAAGGACGGAAAGGTGCCTACTGACTGGAGGAAAGGTTGCCTAGTGAAACTTCCAAAGAAAGGCGACCTAGGACTCTGCAAGAACTGGCGAGGAATCATGCTCCTGTCGACGCCAAGTAAAATCCTGGAGAGAATAAAGGACGCACTGGATACAGAACTCCGACCAGAACAAGCTGGATTCAGGAAAGGCAAATCATGTTCTGACCAAATTGCAACTCTACGCATCATCATCGAACAAAACATGGAATGGCAATCAAATCTCTACCTCAACTTCCTTCATAGACTTTGAGAAGGCCTTCGACAGCGTTGACCGCGAAGTAATTTGGAAACTACTCGAGTACTACGGCGTACCCCAAATATTCATCAACCTTATTCAACAGCTGTACGACAGCGGCACATGTCAAATGATCCACAACGGAAAACTCAGCGAAGCGTTTGGAGTAAACACAGGAGTCAGACTAGGGTGCTTATTATCACCAATGATATTCCTAATTGTGATGGACTGGATTATGCGTCAGACAGTGGGAAACGAGAAGACAGGGATATCCTGGACCGACATGAAGAACCTAGAAGACCTGGATTTCGCGGATGATTTATGTTTGATGTCACACAAGATAGAAGACTTACAAGCGAAAACCGACAAACTGGTCGAAGAAGCAGCAAAGACAGGACTCCAGGTGAACATAGACAAGACGGAGGTTATGAAAATAACCAACCAACAACAACAGCAACATCTAACGCCAATCACCATCAACGGGAGGGATTTGAAAGAGGTTACTTCATTCACTTATCTAGGGAGCATTGTCTCAACCACAGGAGGAACGGACGAGGATGTCAAATCGAGAATCGGGAAGGCGAGAAACACATTCATCAACCTGAAACCAATCTGGAAATCTTCGTCACTCAGCATCAACAACAAAATTCGGATTTTCAATACAAACGTCAAGTCAGTTTTGCTATACGGATCAGAAACTTGGCGGGTCACAAAGAATATTTTCAACAGGTTGCAGACCTTTATCAACAACTGTCTTCGTTCTATGCTGAAGATCAGATGGCCGGAAAGAATCACAAACAAGAAGCTATGGGAACAAACAAAACAGGAACCAATCGCCCAACAAATATGCAGGAGAAAGTGGAGATGGATAGGACACTCGCTGAGGAGGCCGTTGGGTGACATCGCGCGTCAGGCCATAGCTCGAGTGGAACCCGAAAGGGAAGCGGCGAGTGGGACGTCCAAGGGTGACATGGAGGAGATCGTGTGATGAGGAACTGAAACAGTATGGATTAACATGGACGCAGGTGAAAAGTACAGAAGAAGACAGAAGCAAGTGGAGACGTGTAGTTGAAGCCCTATGTTCCACTAGGAACCCAAGGGAACAACAATAATAATAAGTAGACCTAAGTTATTACCAAGATTTCACGGAATGCTGATTTTCTCTGTGATTATACATTTTTGATATTTAAATTTTTTATCTGGTGATTTTAATCAAGTCTAAGAGGTGTTTCAACCAGTAATCAGGTGTCCGATATTTATAGTTTCTTTCAAAGAACTATACACACTTATTGTGTAACATACAATCTGGCTATCAAAAACTTAGTAGTGATATTCGTATCCATGATCAATCACTTATGGAGATGAACCTTAACCCTTATACCTTTTGAAGTTGATTACTTTTATTTATTCATATGAACTGTGATCAAGATTTGACCGAATAGTTGCAAAATAATTGGGCGCCGAGTGAGAAGTAGACATTTGTAAAAAAATTATATTTGTAAAATCTCAGCGAAATTCAAATGACTAATTCCAACGTTTCGATAAGTTACGCAGTGTTGTACAGTAATATTAAGTGATGACCTTTCGAGCATGAACTATTGCTCATAATCATATCAAGTTGATATGATTATGATCAACCTGATATGATTATGAGCTATAGTTTATGCTCGAAACGTCATCAGTTAATACTACTGTACAACACTGTGTGATTTATCAAAATAAAATCTTATCCATAATGGAGTTATGGTTTACCACAGTGCCCAAGTTTTATACTTATATCCAACGTTTCGTTCGGCAATCTGGTCTGAACTTCTTCAGGGAAATTGATCAAAATTAACATAATAGAGGTTTATATATACAAGGAACATCTCTTGATTGGAAAAAGTTTTTAAAAACAAGTGATGTTCCTTTTAGATATAAACCTCTATTATGTTAATTTCGATTAATTTCCCTGAAAAAGTTCGGACCAGATTGCCGAACGAAACGTTGGAATTTTTCATTTCAATTTCGCTGAGGTTTTAGAAATATAATTTTTTACTTTTATTTACGGTCATAAAATCATGTAAGAAATATACCTTTTAGAAAAGTGTTTACTGAATAGACCAATACCAAAAAAGGAATGATTTATATTAAAAGGAGATAACAGAGTAAGAAAAAGTGGTTATTCGGCTGTTTGTTTTAGTGAAATCTTTTCATAGAGTTAATTTTCATCTTACACTTGGAGTTAGAAGGTAATTATAGACTAAATATAAACTGCATGTGTTGATATGTTATCCTTAAAAAGGTATCACAGTGCAGTTTCGTAGCTAATTTACACCTCATTGTATAATCATTTCATTTAACTGTGAATTTTACTGACATTTGTTTTCCCTTTCATCACAAAATAGCTGACATAATCTTTACGAAATATAAACTTCTGAGAGAGAAGGGAGGCAAACAATTGTTGTACGGTCTCTCATTTGAACAATTACTTCAAATTATGGTCAATATTGCTTTGTATTTAATTTCCCCACAAAATACATTTGTGTAAATTAAAAACATATGCAACATTAATCTATTCTTTCCATTCCTTTCTTTTATTTCATAGACGAAAATGATGAAAATTAAAGATGAACGTATTAAACTTTTAAATCAAACAGTCATTGGTATAAAGTTAGTCAAAATGTATGCATGGGAACCAGCCTTTGAAAAACGTATCACAGAGTTAAGAAATACAGAAGTAAAAGCGATTAGATCAATTGAATTTCTGAACCTGATATCTTACATGAGTTTCACTTGCGCACCCTTATTAGTAAGTTATCTCATTTCGGAGCATTATTCACCTCAATCTTTACTGTTGGCAGCTAATACTTTATCGATTATTATTCATTATGAGGCAGCAAAGACAGCACTTCAAATGAACAATAGAGGAAACGGAGGTGATGCAGATAGCCAACGAACCGCAACAACAACAACAACAACCAGCACCAATCACCATCAACGGGAGAAATTTAACAGAGGTTACCTCCTTCACTTATCCAGCTAGGAAGCATCGCTTCAACTAAAGGCTGTAGGAACGGATGAAGATGTGAAAGCCAGTCATTCGGAATCGGAAAGGCAAGATACTCCTTCATCAACCTGAAACCAGTTTGGGAATCGTCTGCACTCAGCATAAGGAACAAAATTCGGATTTTTAACTCAAATGTGAAGTCATTCAGTTCTTCTACATGAGTCAGCAACTTGGCCAGAGCGTCATGCAAAGCATTTCCAACGTACACAGACTTTCATCAACAGCTGCAATCACTGGCCACATACTGAAGATGAGATGGCCGGCCAGCCAGAAAGAATTGGCAACAAGAAACTCTGGCAGTGAACAAACCAACCGAGAGCCGATCGCTCAACAAATATGTAGGAGAAAATGGAGATGGATTGGAGATGCACTTAGGAGGCCGTCGAATAACATCGCGCGCAATGCAGGCCACCGTTGGAGTGGAATCCAAATGGGAAGCGACTAGTGGGCCGTTGGTGCGAGGTTGATACGGAGGAGATGAGAGATTCTGTGCAATCGTGGACCGAGCTGAAGAGGACGGCAGAAAATAGAAGAAAGTGTTGATTTGTTGTTGAAGCCTTATGTTCTTCTCGGAACCTTAGGGAATAATAATAATTCATAATTCCTTTTTTGACATTTCAAGTATACTTATGCTTATGTACTTAAATGATAGGAAGCTGATTTTTGCAGTCCTTTTCATTCACTCAGATTTTGATTAAGGAGACTGATGGCGCATCTTATAAATAAATATATATGTATATATATACATATATATATATATATATATATTAGACCCAGTTTTACTCAAATTATTATGTAAAATAAGCCTACTGAACCCAAAAAACTAAAAAATTTTGTGACTAGTTTATTCAGTCGTTATCATGTTATTATAAAAATATAATGTTTTGAAAAGGATGGTTAGTCTTATCGACATGAACACTTGACTTTCAAGCACTCAGTCTTGAGTTTAAACCTAAGCCTACCTAATTCGACCTGTGCAGATACATAAACATCAAGTATGTCTAATACTGTAGTGAAATTTCAGAAGTTTACTTTTCTTCTTCGTTTGACTGGGGAAGAAAGTTTTCATCATTAATCACCTACTGAGTGCTTGATTTCTTAAATTCTGTTGTGAGGAATTGTGTTTCTTGTATCTACAAAATCAAGAAAGCAGCAAGAATCAAGCAGACTGTATTACTCTTATGAAGACAAATTTTGCTGTAATATTGGGGGTGAATGGTGAGATGAAGAGTCGCCATTCATTCGTCTTTACATGACTACTAGAGGGGGCATTCATTGTACAAGCAACAGATAGAATGAATACAACTTAATGGAAGCAGTTTTCAAAATGTCATGCAGGTTTTGTAACTGTGGTTACTAAATTTCCTTTTTAAAGAGAGTTTTATGACTACAATTAAATTATTACATAAAACCACATGTATATCAGTAAAATTTCTTAATTCAACACTTATACCTATGCTTCATGAATATGATTGTTCACGCCAACTATTTTTGCACTTATTTATTACTAGATATCATCAGCTACTTTCGTCACATACGTTCTCACGTCACCAGAAAATGTGTTGACGGCGCAAAAATCATTCGTTTGTCTAGCCCTATTCAATGTCTTAACATTCCCTCTGAGTACGCTTGCATATATTTTAGCCCTCTTTGTACAGAGCAAAGTATCGTTATCTCGTATCGTTAATTTTCTTTTGAATGAAGAATTAGTGGAACAAACAATTGAAAAACATCATGAAAACAAATCACGTCTCAATCATGAACCTGAAGAATATTGTAACAGCATTGGTGAAAATTCTTTACCGAATACGCGTACGTTTATCACTTTTGGATATTTATAAATCAATGCACATAACTGAACTGAATCAATTAATTAACGTAGCAATTGGCAAAAAAATGCAGCAGTTTAAGCTATCGTACTCCAAAAAAATAAACACAAAGGTAGAGATAAGACATGAATGAGTAATGAAAGTGTATGGGAGAAATAATAATTAGGTGAGGAATAATGAGGACTTAGCGAATCTGTAAGGTTGAGAGGAATGAATACATCTACGCTGTTGAAGACGTTTCCTGGTCATGTTGTCATCAGCCTCCAGTCATTGGTTCTTAGCACCTTGGAGACCGCAGTTGAACGGTACCACCCTAATTTGGCTCAGACAAATGGTCAGTGACTTCGTGTTTTGGTCTGTATCAATTAATTTTAATTATAGAGAAAGACAGTGAATTGGTATGGATAGCCACTGCGTCCAACTTAAAATATGTCAGGTCCCCCGTACCACTTAAAAGCCAAATTGTTAGCTGATATTTTAGAACCTGTAAGAAAACAGATGTGCCACAATTCGCTTTGTGACACTTTCCAATTCGTCAACTGTATACAAGATATCAACATAATGAACAAAAATATGCTTTCTCTTGACATTGAGTCATTATTAACCAATGTTCCTCCCACAGAAACTGTCTGTCACATTTGTTAATATATAGACGAAAACCAGTTGAACATCGGGTCACCGAAGACTTGCTTAAAAAAACTACTGTTTAGGTGTACACTTAATGTGCAATTCGTACTCAACGATGTTATTCACAGACAAAAAGATGGGATCGCAATGGGATCTCCACTGGGCCCATTGCTAGTAGACTGTTTCTTGGCAAACCTCGAGAATGGCCCACTTAAGTCAATCATTGATAATTTCCAATTGTGTGCTACATGTGTGGAAAACATCTTTATTATCTGTGATGATGGTCACTGTCTTAATCAGTTGCTACAAATATTCAACAACTGCCATTTAGCTACAAAGTTTCCTCTTGAAATAGAAAACGGATCTGAAATTCCTTTTCTTGAATTTACAAGAGGAGCTGACCGGACTTTAGAATATCCATCCATGGGACATCCATGTGGAACGGCCAACTGACAAGCTTTTACAGCTGGGTACCAATCAGTCGAAAAAGAAACCTAATTAGACCTCTTGCTACTCGCGTCCGACGCATCTGCAGCTCTGATACCCTGGAAGTACTACACTTCCTGAAAGAAATCTTCATACAAAACGGATATCCACCAAGATTCATAGGCGAAAACATCAAACAGAAAATCCAAAAGCAAGAGACGCTATCCGAGCCAAAAAAGATACTTTCAATGAACCTTGACTTCAAAGGTGACATACTCAGTGATGTCCTTAAGAGAATTTTCACTTCTTTAAGAAGAACTTTCTTCGCAGAAACACTGAGAGTAATGTTCTGTAGTCGAGAGCTGATTTGCAGGAGCCCAAAGGACAAGATCATGCACCTGACCACTTCTTTGTGTAAACATCAGTTCGCCTGTAGCTGTTGAGCCAGATACATAGGTCGTCCGATGCGCATCCTGTGAAAAAGGGACAAAGAACACTATCCATCGTGGCTGCAGAAAAGACGTAATAGCCATATAAGGAGTGCAATCATCGAACATCTCATCACCACTGGTCATTCCATCTGAACAGATGCCTCCTTCAAAGTAATTTACAAAGTTAAGAACAAACAGCCAAAGACAATACGGTTCTGACTTCTTTGCATTGCAGAAGCCCTAGCTATTCAGTTGGGAGAATCAAAACTATGCATACAAAAGAAAATTATTCAGCTAATCCTACTATCATGTTAAAAACTCTGTTGATTTGACTTAATGTTGGCTTGTTTGCTTATTTTTTCTAACTAATTAAAACTTATGAATTCCTTTAGAACTCTTAATATTTTCATTTTAGAATACGACATAATTTGTACGAAAGCAACATTAGGATGGGACAATCAGACTATACTATTTCGAAAGTAAGTCAGTGAACTTTTTATGATGAATTATCATTTCTTGCATAAATGCATATATTTTTTGCTACTGACTTAACAGTAGATCAGGAAGCAAATAAATACAGGGGATTTATGCTCCTTCAATCACTTTGTACTTTGCTTACCAGCTCTTCTGGAGTGAACATCCAGTTGACTATTTTATTCTAGTTAGCGAACTTTTTCTGGTAACTGAATTAGAACAGGCTAGGCCCACGTAAACGAGACCTCAGAACATTATATCAGATAACCAGGTCACTAGGTAGTCGGAAAGAGATGAACACAGATAGTAAAACCAATGAAAATTCTTCAAGAGAACCTGATTACCAAGGAAGAGAAACAGACAAAACAATGGGCTTATCACTGTAAGGGACTCTTGGATCGACCATCACCTGCAACTCCGCCAGAAATACCGCCAACAGCAGACACAGGAATGCCAGTGGACAACAATCCTCCAACGAAAGCAGAGGTGTTGAATGCAATCAAGCTATTGAAGTCTGGGAAGGCAGCAGAACCAGACGGAATTTCCCCACCCCGAAGCACTGAAAACGCACCCAGAGACTGAGGCAGATGTGCTCATGACATTATTGCAAAAGGTTTGTCAAGAAGGAGAGGTACCCACTGATCGGAAGAAAGGCTGCCTGAATGCAGAACTCCGCCAGCCCCACAGTAACAAGGTGGCTGCATTCACGAAAGGAGAATCATGTGCTGATCAAATTGCAACTCTACGCATCAATATCACAGAACAAAGTATAGAATGGCAGTCAAACCTCTCTCTACCTAAACTTCCGTCGTCGATTTCGAAGAGGCCTTCGACAGACAGCGTTGACCGAAAAGCGATTTGGAAACTACTTGAAAACTACGGCGTAACTCAAGTCTTTATCAACCTCATTCAACAGCTGGCTGTATTACAATGACAAGTGTAAGGTGATCCACAACAGGAAACTCAGTGAGGTAATTCGAAGTGCATATAGGAGTAAGACAAGGCTGTCTTTTATTAACCGATGATATTCTTACATGTGGTGGACTGGATTATGTGTCAGACTGTGCACAGGGAGCGAGAAGACAGACATATGCCAGACCACCGATGACGAGATTCCAGAAGACCTGGATTTCACAGGTGATATATGTCTAATGTCACAAAATTCACTGACTTGCAAGCGTAAACCAATAAGTTTATAGAAGAAGCAGCAAAGACAGCACTTCAAATGAACAATAGAGGAAACGGAGGTGATGCAGATAGCCAACGAACCGCAACAACAACAACAACAACCAGCACCAATCACCATCAACGGGAGAAATTTAACAGAGGTTACCTCCTTCACTTATCCAGCTAGGAAGCATCGCTTCAACTAAAGGCTGTAGGAACGGATGAAGATGTGAAAGCCAGTCATTCGGAATCGGAAAGGCAAGATACTCCTTCATCAACCTGAAACCAGTTTGGGAATCGTCTGCACTCAGCATAAGGAACAAAATTCGGATTTTTAACTCAAATGTGAAGTCATTCAGTTCTTCTACATGAGTCAGCAACTTGGCCAGAGCGTCATGCAAAGCATTTCCAACGTACACAGACTTTCATCAACAGCTGCAATCACTGGCCACATACTGAAGATGAGATGGCCGGCCAGCCAGAAAGAATTGGCAACAAGAAACTCTGGCAGTGAACAAACCAACCGAGAGCCGATCGCTCAACAAATATGTAGGAGAAAATGGAGATGGATTGGAGATGCACTTAGGAGGCCGTCGAATAACATCGCGCGCAATGCAGGCCACCGTTGGAGTGGAATCCAAATGGGAAGCGACTAGTGGGCCGTTGGTGCGAGGTTGATACGGAGGAGATGAGAGATTCTGTGCAATCGTGGACCGAGCTGAAGAGGATGGCAGAAAATAGAAGAAAGTGTTGATTTGTTGTTGAAGCCTTATGTTCTTCTCGGAACCTTAGGGAATAATAATAATTCATAATTCCTTTTTTGACATTTCAAGTATACTTATGCTTATGTACTTAAATGATAGGAAGCTGATTTTTGCAGTCCTTTTCATTCACTCAGATTTTGATTAAGGAGACTGATGGCGCATCTTATAAATAAATATATATGTATATATATACATATATATATATATATATTAGACCCAGTTTTACTCAAATTATTATGTAAAATAAGCCTACTGAACCCAAAAAACTAAAAAAATTTTGTGACTAGTTTATTCAGTCGTTATCATGTTATTATAAAAATATAATGTTTTGAAAAGGATGGTTAGTCTTATCGACATGAACACTTGACTTTCAAGCACTCAGTCTTGAGTTTAAACCTAAGCCTACCTAATTCGACCTGTGCAGATACATAAACATCAAGTATGTCTAATACTGTAGTGAAATTTCAGAAGTTTACTTTTCTTCTTCGTTTGACTGGGGAAGAAAGTTTTCATCATTAATCACCTACTGAGTGCTTGATTTCTTAAATTCTGTTGTGAGGAATTGTGTTTCTTGTATCTACAAAATCAAGAAAGCAGCAAGAATCAAGCAGACTGTATTACTCTTATGAAGACAAATTTTGCTGTAATATTGGGGGTGAATGGTGAGATGAAGAGTCGCCATTCATTCGTCTTTACATGACTAGTGGGCCGTTGGTGCGAGGTTGATACGGAGGAGATGAGACATTTTGAGCAGAAAATAGAAGAAAGTGTTGATGTGTTTTTGAAGCCCTGTGTTCTGCTCGAAACCTAGGAAAAGAATAGTAATGGTGAGTGTTGTAATCAGTTAACTTGCAGTTTCGCACCTTTCAGTCTATAATGGATGTGTAAGGAAGAGCTCCTACACTTATAACGATGAATGTGACAATAGCAGTACAACTACATAAATCTACTCAAAAAAGGATTCTACCAAGCTGTTTTTACTGCTCGATAGTGTATGCTACTCTTTGATATGAGCAGTGGTATATTGCTGATATGAAACAGTAGCTCTTGTAACCAGATTGATGTGATCAAATTACCGGCAACTAGTTGATTCATTTGGCACCAAGCTTATCAGCAATGTACTCGGTTTGACTTAACTCAAAGAACCTAACAACTGAAACCACTTGAATTCTGGCTAGCTACAAGCCCAAACTGTTATACACTGATTCAAACTCTGCAATTTGCAAATTACATAGTTCGAGGTGAAGATCCACTGCAGCTTCCTTTGATGACCAAAACGTTTTGGATAGCAATATGTGATCTTCCCGATACTCACTGCTGAGGTTTTTGCCATGTAAAAAATATTAGTTGTTAAGTCGTGCAGTACGCACCGAAGTTAAAATAGGACGTTTTATATATATATATATATATCCAAACCAAGTTGACTTTTAGCAGTTTAAAAAAATTTGGGCATTGGGTATATGATACTTATTATAATAAAAGTTTTCTTGTATTTCCCAATGAATGAAAAACAAAACGATATTGTTTTTACTGACGTTTTGTTATTTAATTCTAATGGCTTTATCAAAGTAATATTACACCAGAATTTACAAAATCTCAGGATGTAGATAACAAATGTAATCATCGTTCCTCAGTATGGGGTCATTTTTCGTTGTCACATTGGCCATTCGGTAAAGATAACAAAGTCAGGTGCAGATTGTTGGATTTGATAAGTGTGTGACAACAAGAGATGACCCCGTACTGAGAAAAGATGATTAAATTTGTTATGTATAAGCTGAGATTTTATAAATTCTGGTGTAATGATACTTTGATAAAGCCATTAGCATTAAATAGCGAAACGTTAGTAAAAGCAATATCGTTTTGTTTTTCATTCATTAGGAAATACAAAAAAACCTTTATTATAAGGACGTTCTCATATTTTACGTATCTAATCTGCTTCTTAAATTAACGTGCGCTATGGTAGCTGATGTTCATTATTTACCTGTGTAGAGGTGTAGCTCTTTGGCTTTAACACTTATTTCTCAGACGAAAAGTACTGAGTCTGGACTCCACTACACGTGTTACAGCCTAGGGAACTGAGTAGTGTCATCATTGTTCGCACATTAGGTGTAGCTCATAACCTAGTATATGAGAGATCTGATCTGCTTAACTATGTTATAACATTACTTAACTGGAAGGATACACTTTGGACTGTAAGAACAATATAAAGGCAGAAACCTACTGCCTTTATTTTGCTTCTGATATTAAATATCACTTTAGTGCATATTATAAAATGACTGAGAATCAAATAATTCACTGGTATATTTAATAACTGCTGCATAAAATAAGCTATACACTTTGATTTATTGAATTCCATATTAGATAAGTTAGTTACAAATATCACACAGTGATTCATTATTAATACTGCATCAATACGTGATATTTATCATGAACTTATCTAATATGAAATTACATTCTTTCACAGTGCCCAAGTTCTACACTTATATTATTGAATTATTGAAGTCAAGCATATTCCTTTATCTTGACATTGAATGATATTTCGTAAAAGTGCTTTTAAAGAGTTAGTTTATTTTTTTGCCTATTTCCAAGTTTAAACTTGAGTATTCCAAGGGGGAAATTTTATGGTGTCGTTGGCCCGGTTGGCGGTGGAAAGTCTTCACTACTCAGTGCCATTTTAAATGAAATGCACCGTTTTGCCGGTAGTATTAAAGTTAATGTAAGTTTCATATTTCCTGAGCTCCACTTATACTGTGCATACAAAGTTAATAAACATTTCAATGAATTAACCGTTGCTGACTTGAGTTACCTGAAATATTTCAAACATTTGGATCCTTTGTTAAATTTCGATAAAGAAAGGAAGACGAAATTTGCAGTGTAAAATGATATCATTCTATTTCACCGGTTCTCATCAGCTGCAGACTACCTGAAATTACAATGGTTATATAGGTGATAATAACATAATTTAATAATAATAACATAACAATAATGGTAATAATAACATACTTTAATGTTTGAGTGGTAGTATATAATCTAAATAACCACTGTAATTTCAGGCAGTCTGCAGATGATGAGAACCTGTGAAATAGAATGATATCATTTTATACTGCAAGTTTCGTCTTCCTTTCTTTACCTGAAATACTTTCCCATATTATGTCCGCCATTTCATAACTGACCAAAGTATTAAAAATTAGTCCTCTGTGGAGCGCTATCTGAAAAAACTCTGAAAATTCAAAACCACTTTAAGATAGCGGGTGGCACTGCAGTGCATCCTATGAAATAATTTCTGCGTATATAAGTCTAAACCTTTGTCTTTCACGTACACTGTGTTTTGCTAGCTTTTACTCTGATGTTTTACCGCATTAATGGTTTATTTTTGTCGTGTTAGTTTCAATAAATTATTTAAAGCGGTTTTTAATAGAGTAAAGTGCGTCAGTGCTTTGTTGGTTTAATTCTGGTCAGCTACGCGGGAGGTATGGGTTCAAGTCCTATTTTAATAGCCAATAGTAAGCAGAAAAAGAGGCTCAGAAAAAACAAACAACACTTGTGCTGATACACTTTCAAAGCCTGAAGCCTAATGTTCTGTTAGAAACTCAAAGAACAGGAAAATTGATGATAAATTGAAAGCAGGTGTATGATTTGCTGAGTTTTGTATAGATATGAAAATTAAAAAAATTGTTTACGGTAGTAGGAAATGTTTTTAAAAAGTTGAAAATAAGTATATGAAGGTAAAAACCAAAGTTCTCACCATATTTAGATGACCATGCGTAGATAATGAATTTTTTCTATGTTTTGTCAACATACCCCGGGATTTGCCGAGTTTTCGAAAAGCAAAATTAACTTTATTCAGTATATATTGGAACAAGCCACATTTAGACGTACTCGAAACAGCAATAATATTTCTATCAATATTCGGACTTAGTGATATATTCACTGTAGACTAATGTCAAAAGATTTTATCAGAATGTATAACACAATATTAGTCGAAGCCCTGTTTACTCATAACAGAAATTTTCGGTGAGAAGGTAACTTTGAGTTATAGGCAACAACGTCACAGCAACTAAGTTCACTGAATAATACAGTGAGAAGTAAATCACTGTACAGATCTTGGGAGTGTAGTAGTTTTAAGTTCACTGCGGAATTCGCCACGAACATATTAAGAAAGTCATTGAAATCCAAAAAGTGATGAACAGTTGTCTTTTCTCAGTATGAGAACCTTGAGCAGTTCGGTGCCACTATGTTAATAAATGGCACTAGTCGGAATTTTGCTGGAGACTTATGTGGTTGGATGACACAATCGCTTAGGTAGCAACTGGCAGGTCATGCGTTCTATCTCCAATGGAATCATAACTAACCTGCACAACAAAGGTTACATAATACTTGTATTTATTTATATTCAAGTGAGCCTTGAATGCAGTTTTACAAGTTATGTAGTTAAAATACTGGCTATTTAAAGTTGAAAAAAATATCCTGTCACCTATTTTTGGCGGAGCAACTTCACAAAATTCCTAAATGAAACATGTTTCCTGAATCACTCACCCTTTTCAGTGCAGCGTTCACAGCTGAAATAATTGATATGCTTTATAATAGTTATCTCGGATAGAACATTTTTGCAGTATTCTTGGAGCTTCAGCGAAAAGGAAATACCTATTTGTGTCACTTTTGTTGTTTCATATTCACATTTGTTACAATAATTGATACATATTTTCCGAAATTTTGTCTTTTAGGGTACTGTAGCTTATGTTTCGCAGCAGTCCTGGTGTCAAAATGCAACTGTTCGAGATAACATCCTGTTTAACCGCACAATGGATAACGACTGGTATAAGAAAGTTGTTCGAAAATGTTGCTTGTTAGAGGATCTTAGACAATTACCGAATGGTGATAAGACTGAAATTGGTGAACGGGTAATGTTATATTCTTATTGTTAATAATTATAAAAAGTGAAGTAAAATGTGAATTATAGCTTATTAGTTTTAACATCGAAATTTCAATCAGCGGCACACAGATTCTTAACTCAGTTTAGCGGAGTATCGTCAGTGAATATATTTTTTGAATTTTTGATTATATCTTGATTCCACACCGTATTTTTAGTACAGGTATGGAATTTTCAGAATGTGATATCAGTAGCCCAATTTTGCAGGCCGCCATTGATATCACTTGTGCGTTGGCAGGGGATCTAGCCGTGGACCATGTGCATGGTCAGCGAGAGACCCGAAACCGCTGTGCCACCGACGTATATAGGATAATCCATATGATTCATTTCTAAAGCAAAAAATTTCCATGTAACTATTGATCTTCATTACTCGTGCAATACGAAAACCGAGGTAAATGAGGTAAAAAAAACATAAACGAAGCAAATCTCATGGTAGTCAGATTTTGGTACTTCGCACGAAGAACGTTAAAAAGTCAACTACTTGATTCAAGTGTTTGCAAGCTATAAAACATGCTTCAGGTAAATGGCTGCCAAATAGTATCAGTAAAATAGGTATAGACCTATGAATAATTTCAAACATCGTACAGTTTCAAATGCATCTGGGGGTTTCATTTTTTCTCATTGAAGAACTGATCAGTTACCTGAGGCTATATATTCCAGCTGCGTCAGACTTTATGAGTGACATAGACAAGTTATATAATTCAGAATGCATTGTTTATTGGGAAAATATAGTATTACACTGTAATATGCCTTGAGTTTCAGAAATCCTGATCATAAAATTTGAAACTCAAATTGCAGAAACAAGATAAGGGAACCGCAAAAGTCGAGAAAGAAGTCAGCCATAGTGTATAAATAAGAATAATAAAGATTTCATACTATATTTAATACAACAAATAGATAATATCTGGCATAGGGACAAGTTTCTTACACCTGTATGATAAATATCTAGGTTGTATTCCTCATGTAGTAGAGCTTAAAGAATTCACTAAGATGACAGTACACTCCATTTTAAATAACGCAATTTCTGGTTTAAGTTACAATGCGATTCCGAATTACTGGTCAACATATAAGACTTTTTCCCTAAAATAGTATTATTTAAATGATTCAGTGTAAGGTAACCCACATAATTATTTGAGGTTTCATTTTTCTTAAAGACGTTGTATGCATAAAAAGTGTCAGTAATACATTAGTTTAATCAAAAGAATGGTAAATGTAAAACAGAGTTCAAGGATGAACAAATTCAGCATTAAAACTTAAATTTAAACTAAGTAGTAAATGAAGAGAATATCAGTGAGATTTTTCGGTCAGCCCAAACTAGTTATGGTGAGATTGAAGATCGAGATGCATTAGGTAGCTGTTCGTTTTAACACTTTTAACATCATTAGTAGTAATAACGAAGCGTGCATTATTTTGATATCATTGTCTTAAAAAATGCATTAAAAGAAGGCAAGTGAATTCAGTGGCATCACTTTAATACAAGGCTTTCACACTGTTTTCTTCAATGAGGCTTTTGTTATTTCACTTCAAAAAAGTGGAATTTCAATCATTTCATTTAATAATATCATGTCAATAGCTTAGAGCATAATGACCGGAATTGATGTGTGAAAGCGTCATCATATAATTTCTCCGAGATTTCTAAAAATTTAATAATTTCCCATCTATATAAAATTCCTTTGACCTAGTTTTTATAGTTCTTCTCCTGATTTATTTTTATTTAGGGTTTAAACCTATCTGGAGGTCAAAAGCAACGTATAAGCTTAGCCAGAGCTGTTTATCAACAATGTGATATTTATCTACTCGATGATCCTCTTTCTGCTGTCGATGTTCGTGTCGCCGAACGGTTATTCAGGGATGTTATCGGTCCGAAAGGTCTCTTGAAAAATAAAACACGCGTATGGGTGACACATCGGTTAGACAATCTTTTACATGCTGACAAGATATTATTCATTTGTAAACAAAACCAGAGGATCGAAAAGAATTTCCGTATTATTGACGAGTTCCAAGGTGAAAGTGCACAGTCAGTCGATCAGTGCGAAAATCCTGAAAAAATGAATGGTGAAGAGTCTACTTGTCAAGAAAGTTATATACTTGAAGAAGGGACTCATGAGGAACTGTTGAAACTAGATAAATTTTATGCATCTTATTACCGTACACACAGATATGATTCTAATGAAGAAAAACAAGGTTTGTTGAGTGATATATTTTGATCTTTGATGAACACAAAGTTATCACAATGATTTTTAAGAAGAATTTTCAATCATAGTTAACATTAATATTTCTTGCGAAAAAAGATAAGGTTGTTCATAGTTCTATCTGAATTAATTAATATGTGAATGACAAGGTCAAGCTTTTCTGATAAAATATTCCATATTAGTTGACGACTGTCTTCATAATTCATAATAGATACATATATCTAGAAGCATTTATGAAGTATATTATATTGATTATTTATTCAGATGTAGGCATGACCACAGAATAACATACCACACAGAATAGCATAATAACAATCTAAGTAGGAAGCCAAGAAGAATAGTCAGAGAATAACAGACAAATAGCTGAAAAGAATCACTAAGTACTTTCAAGATTTCATTTGTATAGGAAACAATAATTAATCATTTATTAAGATTTTGAACCATATTAGAGGATATTTGTGTTACTGAGTCAGATGATTTCTTGGACTTCAGCAATATTTGCTAGATCAGAACAACCATCATATATCATACTGGCCCACGCTTTGTGCTGGCCATTACCACGATTGTTTTAGTAAGTTCTATGGGTAGCAAATTGTTAACAGTGTGGAAATCACTAGGGTGACATTTGTGACATAAGTAAAGGATATCGATATCAGTGTCTGCAAACTATTTATTGTCATTTACTGAAACATGAACTTCTCTTTGCCTAAATTCACACTGTCAGATATGTGAGTTACTTTCATCGTATTATTTCTGCTCGCAAGAAGTTCTCTGTGAGAGATAATGCCTAAGTGCATGAAGTTACCGAAGGTCTTCACCACAGAAGTGCAGATTTCACATAGAACGTAACCCCACGTACTAAAGTACTGAGAACATTACTAATGACTTTTAGAATAAAGTCGTGATAGTACATCAGATAGCCTAGACTGGAAAACTGACCAACAATCTACTACCAAAAAAGTAAGGAGAGGGGAGTGGAGATAGACTGAATATACTCTGAGGGGACCATAAAGTGATGTCACACTTCAGACCGTCGATTGGAACCCGAATGAGAAGCGACAAGTTAGGTGTACGATGGTGGCACAGCGAAGATTACGTGAAAAGAAGATGAAAGCTTGTAGACAGTCGTGTAGTGAGCTGAACGTGATGGTAGAGAACAGAGTGCAACGGGGATGTGTCACTGAAGCCCTCTGTTCTACTGGGAACGGAAAGGACAAGTAGTATTAATGCTGTCCATCAAAGTAAGATGATACCACCTAGATATTTAATGTCAGATGTTCATAGCTTGGCCGGAATCGCTAAAATGCAGCTCTTCCAGGGCCGTCTTGAAATGTTAAGGACGGTTAAGTTAAAGTTAGAATCATGAACTGAGAAATTCTAATCAACTTTATTGTTAGTTTATATCCTTGTTTAAGCTAGGAATAAGGATAAGGTACTAGGATCTACCCAGTCTTTTGAGCACAATTTACACTCCACAATTAAAAAGATCCAAGAGTTAGTCATCTGAGTCATATAGTGTATTATGAATGAAGTGCCTTTTGGACCTCCAATTCATTTCAAGTTAAATAACGGATCATGTAGCACTGTTCTTGTAGGTAGAAGTGACAGCTCTGTAAACCAGATAAACCGCTTTACAAAGTTTTCCGCGCAGAGTTTTAAGTACATTTGATGACTATTGACTCTCATGCTGTCCATATCAAAGATCATTTTGTGGATACCGTAGCTTACCAGCCAATAGTAGGTCCAAAAAGGAGGGTAAGCCAGGCATCAGACTAGCAACCCCACTCTAAAAAAATAACACCACCGACAATGAAACTGCAAAATCTGAGGCTCTGTGTTCTACTTGGAAGGCATAGGGATGAATGAAACTTTTTGAATAATCTGAAAGACCTTTCAGATTTTTCCAAATTAAGCTTTCTTATTCATGTCGTCCACATCCCATGCTATCTTGGTTTCGCATCCTTTTAGAAAGTGCCATACTGTTTTACATGAAATGGCCTTCTGTGAACAAACGTAACTTATATATTGAATCCAAAAATTGTAAGGAGCCTGATGAGAACATCTGTTTGATAGTGTACTAACTTTTATAGCCTCGAAAGGCTTCACTCGCCATACTCAAGGCGTTTTGCGATTGCTGCAGAAGTTTGTTCGTAATTTGACTAGATCACTGGATGTTGTGAATTTCGCTGATATGAACTGAACTAAGTTTTCAAAGTAAGACTTTGCACAGAAGCGCAGCAATTTTAGTTACCAAACTTCATAACCGCTCACAAAAATGTACAAAAGAAATGCAAAGAAACCATACTAAATGAAATTGTGCAGTAGAGACAACAGTGATATGGCAAATAATGAGAATTCAAGAGTCCATTAAGAGTGAATACAACTGTGGCAGTGGAAATGATTTTTAGCCGAATCACTGAAAATCTTCAACCACTGATTTTCAGTGCAACAAGGTCTCCAGCCTGTTAGTCTGCACCCACCCCGTATGACTCAAACAAACAGTCACAAGTATCATGGGCCGACTCTCAGTTTTGATTCGATCGCCTCTAACTCTTTTTCAATCCAATCCTATATCAGCTTTCACTATTTGTTGAGGAAGTCGGTTAAAAGACATGTCTCAATCAGCATACTTTGATTGACCTTTGCACCTTCCCTAAACTCTGAGTCCAACTTTAATGTTACTCATCATATTATATCACTTAAAAATGTAGACAGAATGCAAACAGCTGTGGTCAAATATGGATATTCTGGGTGTTCGCTAAGGTGCTGTTCCAGCCTACTAAAGTCATGCTACCTAACTTGCTGAAGGATTCTATGTTCACATATTACTGAGTGATAAGTGGGTATAGAAATAACGTTTATAGCTAAGCACCGAAAGACAATAATTGTTACTTGGGGAAAATATTTTTACTATGTTTTTAAATTAATATTTCCTAAGGTGAAAGGATTTTCTGGTATGTTGTTTGGTCCGGAGTCGGTCTCTGACTGACTGAATTAAAACAATTATTCAACGATAAAGATTTCCTAATAATAATCTTCCTTCATTTCAAGCATACGACATGGATGAATCTAACATGATTCTTGCCTCAAATTCCATAGGAAACTCCAGGATAGAAATGCCTACTAACAGTGGTGACGAGTGTAGTGTTAATCATAATTATACTGCTGATGTGTACAGTTCAACTGACAGTTTATCGACAAAATGTGGTACTGAGGATTATACATCCATATTTAAATCTGTGGAGGAGGAAAAAACTCAGACAGGATCAGTAAGTTGCCCAAAATTATTTTCTGATAGCGTTATATACCATTGAAATACTGCTGATTAGTGACCTCGTATTACAAAATAAGTTTATGTAAGTTAAGTGATGGTCATAACAAGCCGTTTAAAATAACAAATCAAACATTAAGAAAATATGCAGTCACAGCCAAAATCTTACTGTAGTTTCCTTCAAGAAAGTGAGCTGCTGAAATAAAAATGTGTGATCTACCTAACAATAAGTTTACCAACAGATAAGCTGAAAACTGCTTACTAATACGAGCTGTTGAAATCTATTCACAGTACCAAAAAGTGTTCGGCAGCCTTACATTATTATCAATATTCTTTATATGTTTTCCAAGTGAAACATAGAACTTCAGTAGCGTATCTGTATTATACTCTATTCTCTGTCATACTTTTCATTCTGCTTTGTAACTGACCATATATGTATTTATATGTCTGCATAATTAGGTTGATCGAAATTTTTGCTGAGTAAATATGTGTGACAACGCTGTTTCGAAAGACGGAATTTTGACCTCCTTTGCTTTATACCAATTTGTGTGGTTTAAAACAATAAATATATGAGAAATAAGCACGAATCTTCATACTTTCACAATGTCTGAAGTTTAATTCAGATCACTGTTGATTACCTAAGTCTCTTAATTACAGGTTGCATTTTAAGCAACTTTTCATCTTTTGACATATGTGATAGTTGTTTATGCTACCTCCTTGATACCTCTCTGTGCACACAATAAAGAAACAAAAAGATGAAGCCTAGATTTTTAAGAATTATATGGTCGGTCGTTTTCTCGTCTTGGGTGTAAATGCTTTATGTGTTATCGAATTTTCTGTTTAACCAAAAGTTATTATTGAATGAAAATGTAATTCTATCATAGAACTCGGTTTAAATCCTTATTTGTAAAAGTTTGGGTTTCTTTTAATTGACGTATCGTGTTTAGATAAATTTACTTGTCCTAAGAGCTTATGGAAATGCATATGGTCACTGGAGACTTTCGCTTACTTTCGGAGCGTTCATATTACTTGGTATGGCTACTATTACAAATCAAACATGGCTTGGTTATTGGTCTGGTAAAGAAAGCACAAGGCAATTTAATTTGACTAAAGGAAACCACACTCTGTTGTACTACATAAGCATATATAGTATACTTGCTTTTCTTCAAGGTAAGACGATTTCCACTTTAGTAATTTGTTTCTGTTATCCACTGCTGAGATGACTCTTCAAACTTTTTTCTCCTATAGTTTGTTTAACTATTTAGAAAATTTAGAATTTCATCTCTCATTCTGTCTGAAATTAAACATTTCGAAAGCTTTGTTAGATTACTTCTATATGACATTTTTCTTATTCGTTATTTATTGAAGTAATATAGCTCATAAATGAATATTCCCTTAAGCTTTTAATATTTAACGACAGCAATCTTAGATTTTAAATTTGTTCCATTTAGCCAATCTCATTTGTCCAACAGCGTGGAAGGTGATATATCAGAACTAAGAATAGATATCGTATTCATATTTTTAATCTTTAGTACTCAAAATCTGCTACCACAGCGTCAAACTCATATGGATTAACTGCACTAAGTTGAAGTAGGAAATCTTATGCTTTCCCGTTTCATTAACAGTCGCCTTGGACAGCATCTTTTGATACTTCAAGGGTACATTTATGTTGCAGCAGTAGAAAGCAGGGCTCATGATTTAGTTTCCTAAACATTCTTTCGCACAATCAACTTTCAGTTTTTTGAATTTTTCTGTAAATCGCTTTGTTCCCAGAGAGATTTCATTAGAAACTGGAAATAATATTGTTATATTGCAAGAAGACAGAAACTGATTGACACAACCACTTAGTTATTAATTAGATCACTAAAGTGTCCTTTAAATTCACTCTCCAATTTTTAATAGCCATCTACGTTAAGTTGTGATGAAATGGGCCTGAAGATGAAATTTAGTTGAATCGAGAAATGAACTCATTGAGCACACTGTTGATAAAAATATTAATAGACATCCAGGTGTTATTCATGAATGCAAAGTGGTTTTGGTACAGTGGTATGGTATAATTTTCCATATGTAATAAGTTTATTTTATATGACATACAGCAAAACAGAATTAATAACTGGATAACATTTCGAGCACAATTAATTGCTCATAATCATATCAGTTTATTCAAATGACTACACAGTTTGCTTTATATGGTTTCACTCCCTGCTGTTTTCATTGAAGTTTTACCATATTTCTGGTATAGGTGTTACGTCATGTCGATCAAACGTGTTTGGTGTTGATTCGACGAAAACATTCCTAAGTTCGGGTAATCTGGAAATTTATTTGGAGCAAAGTTAAATAATCTAAAAATATTCCATGCCATTGTAGTGTATTCATTTGCATATAATCACGTAATAGGGCGAAATACAGTAAGAATATTGAAAATCATATGGTTAGGTGGAGAACGAGGTTAATTGCCGAATGTTCATTCATCGGATTAACACCAAACACGTACAGTTGAAATGATGCAACGCCTATACCAGAAATATGGTAAAATTCCAATGAAAACAGCAGGGAGTGAAGCCTTATAAAGCAAATTATGAAGTCATTTGAATAAACTGATATGATTATGAGCAATTAATTGTGCTCGAAATGTTATCCAGTTATTAACTCTGCATCACTGTGTGTTATATCAGATAAACTTGTTTAGTGCAGAATCCATGTGTTGTGTATTATTCATAGTGTTTTCAACTAATTTAAGTTTCAATATAGTAAAAATAATAATTTCTATAATAATTTGGTATTGCGAAACATAAATAACATTTTTTCAAAGTTCTATACGCGGTGACATTATACCGATTTTCTCAATATTCAAATTAAGTTCTTCGTGATAATTGACTACTTCTTGTCTTTCAGTTGGCCTATTTTTACCTACATTGCAGATTCTAGGAAATCATCTTCAAAAGTTAATTTATTTAAACAAGAACTTAGGTTGAATTTTTTAAATCAGAAGTTGGTTAGGACGATAGATTCACTTAACGTTCTAACAGTTATAGAATAAAATACTTATCATTTCAATAACAACTAGTTTTCCTTTCCTACATGTTATGAATCTCTTGTGACCGGTCACCACTATAGTCCCGCACTTCACGATATTTTGTAATTTCATTCATCTTAACACGTTTGTCACATGCATTCTATTTGTTTTGTCACCCTAAGAGCAATCTGTTATTTTACGTAAAAATGTATCCACCACTTACCTGGCTATTATTGCAATGGTCAAATATATTTTACTTTGTAATTCTGAGGACCTGAAGAGAATTTATTGGAAAGAATATTCTTCTTACGGATAGACTTTCAATTCATCATGTGGGAACATTTTACATTCTTGAATTTTTTTATTGTTTTACGTAACAGTATTTTTCACGGGTGTACAGAATATACTCCTGAATTTTGGATCAGCTAGTGTATCCAGTACAACTCATTCTGATCTCTTAAGTTGTATCCTGCGTGCACCAAGTGAATTTTTCGATACAACACCATCAGGAAGAATACTGAATAGGTAAGTGTTCTGCACGTTACAGAAAAATTACTAACTCCCCTTTTCAAAAATGCAAATAATTATTTCAATATTGTTCACATTTTATGTTAAAATAACTATAATGCTTTTTATTATAACTTTACTGATATCATGGTTTGAAGAATAAACATTGAAAAACTCTCATATGGAATTTGGATGGGTATAGTACTTGTTTTAATCTTAGTCGGAGTTGTGAAAATGCGATAGTGAAGCCTTTCAAATTAGAGCGAAATGCCTAATAATTTCTCTTTAGTTTGGGATGGTTTCCCCAAACGTGTTCATTCTTGTCGAAATCTACCTGGAAATAGATTCGCTACATATTAAGACAGCATTTGAATAATTCCCACTTTTTATAAATATTATTCTACAATCACTTTAGTATGTGAATGTTTTTGCAATGTAATTCACAAATGCTTTTAGTTTTCCTGTGAAATTCATTTTTTTCATGCTCATGAGTAACCATTCTAATACCACTTTTAATTAGAACTTATTTACTACTATCACACTACTTTTTAAACTCACTAAATGTATTAAATAGCCTTCAGAGGCTTTAGTCCAAAAGTTTATGTTGACAGAAACACTAATCATCAAAAAAAAAATAAGTGAGTCCTACAGACTTATTTCAAGTCCATTTATTCGATTGTTCTAGTGATGGAATATCACGATTACTTTATTTTACTTTGTTTTATAGATTTTCAAAGGATATTGATATTATTGACTCAAAATTACCATATAATATGCGCGTTGTACTTGTCACCCTATCTCACGTGTTAGTCTGCTTTACGTTAATATGCATAGCATTACCGTGGTTCTTAGTCGCGCTATTTCCAATTATTGGATGTTTTTGCATTTTACAACGATTTTATATGGCTACTAGTCGTCAGTTGAAGCGTTTAGAATCAGTCAGACGTTCTCCAGTACTTTCATACTTTCAAGAAACTCTTTCAGGGATATCAGTTATTCGAGCATTTAAAAGAGAAAACGAATTTCTAAGTAAGTTGGCACACAAAAGAAAAAATTTAATGAAATGGATTTGTATAAAATTTTGTATTGGTAACGCATTTTCTGCTAGTTTTAGCTGATAGTTAATACTGTTATATTAGTTATGAAAGTAACCAAGTGGAATTTTCTATATGCTTTAAAGTTTATTTCTGCTGATTAGCGATTTCTCAGTTTCCTTGATAACTTCGACTTAGGTAATGATCGCTTAGCTTCATTAGGTCTAATGAACATAACACATCTAAACTGTTTGAAGACTTGGAAACCTTTTCTATGTGATCTTTAGTGCAGATGTGTGTTTGTATACCTAACCAATTGGATGTGAAGGCATAGAATATGATGTGAAACATAAAGTTGATTTCAGAATAACTTGTTATCCAATAAATTTATCATTCCTACATCAAATATTCATTTTGTTATCCTCCTGGATATCATGAAGCCGGCTACCTGAGCGCTATTTGTTAGAACCCATCTTCGATTGAAGTTTGGCATGAAAGGTAGCTATAATTGCAATATTTGGAAATCAGTATTTCGGATACGATTATGATAAGTTAAATAACTGGAGAATCAATGTACACCTTCGAACATATGCATAGAAAAGTGCAGAAATAAAATATAAATGCAGTGGACACAGGTGTTCAGAATAAGAATGATTGATAGGATATCAGTGAAAGTGTTCACCATTTAGAAGATATTTGAGTCATTGTGTATGACTTCGACTGTTGCTATCACTAGTCTCCAAGGGTTGGTACTAGGCATTCAGACAACTCTACCAAGGTACACTACGCTTCACCATGTGACTAATACCAAAAGTCAGTAACTTGAAGAATTTCTGAAATGTTTTCATCTGTCCCTACTCAAAGTGTTTTCTAACCGGATTTTGCTTCCAATAAAACTGCTTATTGAATAAGATGTGATACTTTTTGTAACCATCTTAAACTATACAGCTATATAACCTTGTTAATTGACTTTTTCTCTGCATCTGGTACTCCGCATCCAAATTCCTTATTGCTTACTATGTTGATTTCAAATAGATGAAGTGATTAGTTTATTTAACCACTGGATTCACTAGCCTAATTCTTGTTGTTAGTGCAGATCTGTCTTGTAGAGTTATTTTTCCATCGGTCGAGAGGAACTGAATACAAAAGATATCCTCAAACTTCCTAGAGGTGTTTAAAAGACTGTATTTTTTAAGTGTTTTAATTAAAAGCGACCATATGATATTCTTATTATATCTTATGTGGTTTCAAAAACTGTTTGAAACACACTTCATAATTCTACAATTTTATATATCTGTTTGGCTCTAATTTCCAACTATTGAATTAAGTTAAATAGCTCATGGGACAAATTGATTGTTTTATTTTTTACTCTAGAAAAACACGAATATAATTAGGTTTTGAAACTGTGTTGTCTGTAGACGTATTGTCACGTGTATTTTACGCAGAGTTTTTTCTTTGAATTTAAGTATTTTTTGTAAAAATTTTGGAATTTGTAAGAATAAATTCGGTGTACCCGTTTTAATTTAAAAAACTGTACTGTCGTTCAAATGACATTAACTGCATATTGCACAACCTAGGCTTTATTGATCCTGAAAGAGTTAATCAAGAGTATTTAAAATAAATTTATTGTTATCTGTCAGTACAACCAGACTCTAGTGCATACTGAATTTTGCATGGGTGTTTGGCGATTTCCAATTGTGAAGTCTCTGATCTCAGTTCATGACGACATCTATGCAGAAACTAAGTATACATTCACCCATTCAACAAAATGGCTCCAGTCATTATTTTACTGAATGTTTTACTAGCGAGACATTTTGCGTTCACTGATCATTTTCTTTTATTCTCGGTTACCTGGAAATGTCTTCTGTAAAATCGTGATATTTTATCTTTGAACCTCAATTTTTTGCCATCATTTGAACTACATTTGCTTAAACCATTCAAGTAACATTATGTTCTTTTACCACTAAGCTATATACGTGCCGTCAGGCTCGTTCTACAGAACAGCGACCTAATATTAAATAGAAATAGGCTACAAATAAATTTTAACTAAAACGTTTCATATAATTAAAGTATTCTTAATAAAAAGGTACTTTTAATGAGAGTTGCAGCTTCATGACTTTAAAATATAAAAGGCCTAACAATCTCCCACATTAGACTGTCACACTATCCGAATTGTACTCTTATACCTTCCATTTTTATACATTAAGAGACTGTCAAGGCATTCAATGAAACCACTCGTCACAGCCAAAACCGACTCCCTGTGGTCTGAACGCAGGATACCGATCTCTTTGTCTTACTGTATAGTTGACAAAACTTCCTTGAGGCATACACAGTCACAAAACGCTCCAAAGGCAGCAAAAAGACCATTGTTCCTAGATAAAATGTATGTGTGGTTGTATTTAACAACACCAACAACATCAAAAACTCAAGATTACCTCAATCATGAAGTCAGGTAGCTATACAGACAAGGTAACTTTCTGAGTACAAAGCAAGTATTATAGAATAAAAATTATTTAGCTTAAATTCAACTATTAGAAGAATTTAGAATCAAGTAGATTATTCGCAGTAAAGTGAGATTAAAATCTCTAACCAAAGCGATGACACACCAACGTTTCCCACAAACAGTCCAAGGTTAGAATGACCTTCATCCATTCAGACAAAATCACATCACGAAACAAAGTTGCTTTATTGCATATCTCCGCTAAGTGTAGCATCATAGTCTATTACTATGGTGGTTTATTGACAAGTTATATGCTTTGTAAATCTTTTAAAAGAACTTCTGAATTTAAAATTTTTTATTCTGCACAAATTATACTCCTGAACTGTGTTACATTTGCTGTACTTTTGTCAGAAAATGTTGCTTGATACTGATATTTACGCAATGTAATAGATTAAAGGACGCAGTGAGTTCGAAAGATAAACGCAAATTACTGAATTTCCATGAAGTCATGCTAGTGTATTTTGGCGTATTTGTCGAAACTCCCTAATACCCACCGGATAAAGTTGGCGCCACTTCAAAAAAGGCATATGCCATATAATCACCCTAAAATAACTCATTATCAATGTATCGCACAGCCACAAAGAGAAGTATTAAGATTAGAGATTAAGCAGTGATAAAGACAAATAATGGGGATCAAGTCAACTAACATATGATATGCAAATGTCAGAACAATGATATACTGTCTAGGAGAAAATAGGACAATAATTATAAAGTTAGTTGAAACATCCAAATAAGCATAAATATTGTAATTAGATTATTCAGGGGGGATTTTCAAAACAATTTTTACGTCACATCGCTTATTGGCTTTGTTAAGAATAATTTCTGTGCTAGTTTCAACATACAAGTATTTCTAATATTTACTTCAAAATTCAGTACTTCCATTTGTTTACAGAAAATTGTAAAGCAATGTTATTGCGATTTAAACTCTCCTACGCATTCACACATATATTCTTTGTTCAAACAATCACTACTTATGTTTTTCAGTGGAATGATACTCCTGTATCACTGTTCAATTAACATATGGAATTTTTTCATTCCACGTGAAAAAATTCATATTTTAGTCTTCTAATTAAAAAAAGCCAGACTTTTGTAATGTCTGAAAAAAGGAGAATTGACTAAAGCTTAATGTGATTTTGTATAGTAGAATCAAGATTATTATAGCTAATTATTATTTCAAAATTTGACGAAAGAGGTAAATATGATAACTTAGTCATACCTCCGTCTTTTAATAAGAATTTTAAAGTACATTCAGTAAACTTAATCACTGTTGATTCATGTTACAGTATACATACACTGATTTTATTTTATGATTATAATACAGTTTCATTATCATCCTATAAAGCAATTAACAATAAGTTCTGTTCTTTCACAAGTTATGAAATATACTGAAGCAATCTGTAATCCGTACAGTCGAAATTAAATACAGAATAAGAATACTAAGAGCAAATACATGTTTTCAATAAATGTTTCACGAATGTTAGCATGGAAAAGCTAGTGAAGGCAAATGAGAATTATATCAGAAGGTGTACTGTGGTACAAGTGGAATATGGAACAATACCCGGAGAGTTCTGATTACCACTTAAATTCATATTAAAAAGATGAGATGAAATGAAATGATTTAATGTTGTGTTTGTGTATATATGATCAACAAAAAGTATGAGCTTCCGCAGACCACTTGCAGGAAGTTGTGAGAGGGACAACAGGAATACTACAGAGCAGTTAGACAACAAATGGGATTTACTAGACATAAGTACAACGGCGACAAATAAGAGTAATGAAGATAAAATTTTAACGATGGAGTGGTAAACTCTGAGAAAACGACTGAGGTAATGGTGAATTTATTCAAGTAGAATTAAACAGATCGTGTAAATACAAAGACAAAAATGAAAAACACTGTGAATACCAAAGGTAATAGAAATATTCAGAAACGTCATGGAATCTCGAAAGGTCTGAAATAAAGTTTGTCAGTGAAAGAAATGTTAATTATCAATGTTTACGGAGGATTTGTTGACCTTGTAGTAAGCCAAGGTGAACAAAATGGCTGAACATACTTCTTCTGGATACAGAGACGAGGTCTTTCGGTATTGACTGGTACTCCTTGGGTCACTGATAGAAAACTCTCACGAGCACCTCAAGATAGATTACTGGGTATACCACAGAGAATTTCTACGGTTGTTTAGTTGAGTGTCCACTAACTCTGATTTGGCTTGGCTGGCCACAGTATGCTAAAACTAATGAATTCATAATTGTATGACCTGGTGAAGTGTTTGATGAAAAGAAGTGTTCGCTCTAATTATTCTTGTTCCGAATAATTTTTAGAGATATTCAAGTTAGTAAAAGTTAAATTATGAACAGGAATAAAACCCACACGTTCTAATTCCTATAGATTGTTTCGAATCATAGTAGCTTAATGGCCCTTAGTTCAAGATTCTGTGAATATATTTTTCACCTAATAGGTTCGGAGTAGAGATTGAGAATTCAAGCTTTATCTATAGAATCAGGTGATAAAACGTGCAAGAAGAATATATTCAGCACCCATTCTAGATATTTAGACAATTCTACAACTCTTACAACGAATTGGTAAACAAAAGAGAACTGTGAACATCGAGTTGCTAAAATGTGTATTTGCAAGTGATATGATAATGAATAATAAATTCTGTTTGCAACGACTATTTCACTGTGTGATATATCGAATAAGCAAATTAATATGAAATTCATTACTTTTATGTGGTGTTATAAAAATTTTATGACAAAAAAGGGTCTACTGCAAAATCTGTGAGTAGTGTCAAAATACTCTGGTATACTTTTCGAAATTGCCATTGTCAGCATGGCATCCCTTTGTAAATGCTATAGAAAAATTGTGGTCAAATAATCTTTTGGTTATTATTATTACTGCATGACTGTATGTTTTATCAAATGAACTTCTCTACTGTGACACATGTACTATAAAACAAAACCACGTAAAAATTACACAGAATTAAATACTGTGTATAAAGCACGGTTGTCTGGAGCTAATGGGTAAGTTTTATTCTTTGAGCAGACTCAATTTCAAAAGATATTTTGTGCTAGTCAGTAATCAGCTGTCTGCCTTACCTGAAACTTATTCTTAAAATTAATGCAATATGACAGATGTATTCCCCAGTGAAGTCTCATTAAATCGCGACATTTTTGAGAGGTGGGTAGCAGTGTTCGGATGTTATCTAACTAACTATTAGTTCCAGCATTTAGTGTAAATAGTTTAGGTATAAGCGAGTGAATTACATTTCTGTGGATAATGATACACGATATGTGTAGTATGCATATTTGTATATATTAAATTTATGATAAAATGTTATTTCTAGTTTCTCCAAATCTAATTCATTTCAGCACACTTTGTTTTCTTAAATTAACTCTTCATTTAGATACCTGCAATAAATTAGTTGACGAAAATTTGAAGGCTTCGTATCCAGTTATTGTATCCTATCGTTGGTTAGGTGTGAACATCGAACTACTGGGACATTTCATCACACTCATCGCGTGCATTATAATTTTATTGACTCTTGAGACAGTTGGACCTGGATTTGCTGGTTTAGCCCTAGTCTATTCGCTATCTGTCTCTAATTATTTAACATTTGTTATACGATCTAGCTCAGAACTAGAAAACTCAGCAATTAGTATTGAAAGAGTGAGAGAATATTCAGGGATTCCAAGTGAGGTAAGCCTTTTCTGTAAATAAGTCTAAATCCCCTTTTTTGAATAAATTCTCCTTAGAATAAACTCATGTAATATCAAATTACATATTAATAAAGTAGATTCGAAGCTTAAGTAGAACAATTGCAACTATAAATTCATTAAACAGTTGTTTATAGAATGCATAGTTTGAGGTGAAAACATACCTTAATTTTTCCCTTTGTCGCATAAGACTTAACCTCTTTAACGGAATTCGAGATCATTTTTACATATAACTGAAGTCATGGAAATCCAGAGGAAATTGACTCTAGTTTGTATACTGAAACATTCCACTCCACCTTTTTATTTCTGTTTTGGTTAGAGTAAGTGTAATTAATGAACCTATCATTTAAACATTTTATCCCATTTAAACTTCGTCATCATCCTCTTGGGTTCAAAGTGAAGGCATAGGGCTCCAGCAGCACATTTGCATTTCATCTTGTTCTTTATATTCGTCCAAAGCTGGCTGTATGATAGACCGTCAGCTTTCATTTCCTCCTCATATGACCTCCTCCACGCCACCCTTGGACTCCTAGCTCATCGTTTCCCATTTACGTTCCACTCTGAGACCTATTTATACAATGATTACACTTATTTAGACACTGATTATTTGCCTACTTCGTCTTTTATATTATTCAACTTCTATTTATTTTTAATTTTGACCTGATGTGATTATGGAAATGTCTACATTATCACGTTGCCGTCATTATTCGTATAACTGTGTTGATCAACTAAATCTACTTTCTCAGTCATTGCTTTATTATTATTATTATTATTATTATTATTATTGGAGTCATCATCGTAGTAGTTTCTATTTCAATGTTTAGCGAGGAACATAGGATAACACCTGAATGGCATAGGAGTAAGTCGTTGATACAGTTTCAGATTACAGAATCTTATAAGATTAAGTTACGCCTTATAAATAAATGCTAGAGATTTGAAACCATAAGTCACTACTGACTCTTCCTAACACTTAATGCCTACTACAGTAGACAGAGATTATTAACTGAAAGTTATCTTTACCTTACTAACTAATTTTTCGTCATAATATATCTTGTTATACTCATCTAGCGTACTTTTCAATTAATAGGGTGAATGGCACTTGGATGAATATAATCAACAACTTGAACAGTGGCCAAAAGTTGGGTCTATTGAATTTAATAATTATTCGATGCGTTACAGAAGAGAATTAGAACTAGCTTTAAAGTTCGTGAATGTAAAAATTAATGGTGGTGAACGTGTAAGTTGACGAATTCAATTATTGTTCACTTCGACCTTTGGTGTATGGATTTTCGCTTCAAAAATTACTTTCTTTGTTACTTCAGACTAGATTAATTAGTTGATACGCTTTACTCTAGTGTGTTTTCATACGAATTTCCTACTTTACTGCTGGTATACAAAGTGTTGAGGTTTTCACATCTCGTCAACGTCTAATAACTAACACATGAGCAACTGCCTATTAATTAAAGGGCCTTTAGCTACCATGTATTATGTTGTTTGTGAAGTATAGAACACACTTTACCAGTGGTCATTTGCTATGAAATTATCATGAACATATTGCCTGTGATTAAATGAGATGATATAATCTGATGAATGTGACTTCATATTTCTATTTGTCAGAACCTAGGCATGTGGCTTTTCGATTATTGTCTATGAAACTTCTGTTTCTGTATCATACTTGTTAATTTCATACTTCTGTCTACTTTATTCACTGTCACAGGATTTTAGTTTTATGTAGGTTTGTTACTCGATAAAAGTGCCTAAATTATTCTTGAGTTTAGTTGAATGTTCGTTGAGATAATTTTTGTGTGTGAATATCTGTGATGTCGGAAACAGAGCACAAACTAACGAAACATTATTAGTTACATCTGATGTCAAAATCGTAACTGTCGTATGTTCAACCATTTGCTAAATTTACAAGAGATCTCATTTGTCAAATCTGTGCACATTATATTCTAAAGGACCTCTGAAGATTATGTAAAATAGGACTGTTGACCTCCTCATATTAAAGCGAAATTTTTTACTAGAAGTGTTTTATAAAGTAGAACATACTAAGTACATTTAGTTTGATGCTGACATAAGTATAAGTGTAACGACAGAAGGCAAGAGTCAGGCAACAGATCATTTATTAAGGAAATCAACGCATATTTATATATTTTCATGTACATTACTATGGTTATTTAAGCAAACAAACACAGTCTTCCGATTGGTTGTTTCTCACGTAAAGTTAATCTTTCATCTATTTGTGGCTGTTTTTTGAATGTCAGATCATCTATATGTTAACTGCATCCGCCTACGCAAAGTCTGCTGTGGTCGGTTTTGAATCAATCTTTGTTCACATTTTCTCACGACAAATCATGGGAACGTAAATATTGACGTAAATTACTGTCTACCCAATTTGGCTAGTAGACAGCTATCACCACATAAGTAACAGAATGGAGAACCATATTTTTAAAATATTTAACAGTCTTCTCTATTCAAGACATTAATTACACATAGACTTTGAAGTATTTAAGTCAGAAGTAAATTCTAAGTGTGTATTCAGAAAAGATTTTTCTTAAAATTGACCACTAAGAAAAAAAGATTTCGTAAAACGCGGGGACATTGGTATAGCGGAAGGCGATGTTAGTTGTGACAGTTTTCAGTTAAGAGACTGAAGAGCCTGTATTAAGATTCGTAGACTATTGAAAAAGAAAACAGCGAACATGTTTGTCTTTTTGAGTCGCTTCTATTGGCACGATTGATCCATTCTTTCAACGTTTAATGGACTATATGTTCTGTTGAAAGATGACCTAAGCATCTGATTCAACAAAGTCCTAAGTTATACGTGTCTGGCAATAATTTCTTTGTACTGAGATTGTTTTCATTTAATTCATGAACAGATTGGAATTATTGGACGGACGGGTGCCGGGAAATCATCACTAATCTCAGCCTTATTCCGTCTGGTGGAACCCACCACAGGTCAAATCTCCATAGATGGTGTTAATATAAATCTTATAGGATTGCATGATTTACGTCAAAAACTTACAGTTATACCACAAGTATGTTGTCGTTTGTGGCATTTTCTATTATTTCTGTTGTAATAAAAAGCTTTAACTCTGAAAGTCCAACGTTTAATGTATATTTAGAATTCTGCTTTACTTATGCATTCGTTCGTTGTCTGTAGGTAATCAAAACTTTATAATCCGCATAGCATGTACACACAGTTTTGTGATCTGTGTTATAGCGATGGTTTTATGGCATGCAAATGAATTACATAAAAGAAGTACAGAAGACAATAACTGCTTGGTCTAAATTCAAAGAAGATCTGTTCTCTACGCATTTACGATGAGGATAATTATTTATTTGCAGTGCATAGAATCTGTTTAGTTCGGATAATTGTGATCAACTGACACACTGACATAAAAATAAAATAAAGTGTTTCTAGTCTTAGAAATAGACTGAGACTTCAGTGAATATGCAGTTGTTAGTAATTTTGTTGCTGAGAAAATTATTAAAATATTTTTCTGTTTTTGAGTGAAAATGTTGGTAACATTTATTTTCTTTGTATCTTATAGGATCCTTTTATATTCTGTGGGACATTAAGATATAACTTGGATCCACTCTGTGTTAAAAATGATGACGAATTATGGAATGCCCTTGAAAAGGCACATCTGAAAGAATACGTGATGGCTCAACCAGAGCAACTTGACTTTATGTGTTCTGAAAATGGAGAAAATTTAAGGTAGTTAAACTTTAAAATCTCCAGCCGGCATTCTCTATGCATTAAATGCAGTATTTATTATATTTTTTTAGTAACCATCAAAACGGATGTTTGTTTTCACTGTATCTGAATATTTTATATTTCTAAAATATACAGAAAGCTTGCACAATCTGAAATATCATTAGGCATTGAAGCGTATTTCTTGGAAAGGTATATTTTCTGATGTATTAACCCAACATTTAATCTGTCAATGGAATGGAAAATTTTATTATCAAAGTAATTTGACTGAAGTTACTAATATCAGAGATTCTTTTTCTATGGTGTCGATGTGATCTTTCTGTAGCCATTCAGCTCTCCTAAGGAATTTAAAAAGTATGGCACTAATGACGACTGTATGCAGAGTAGTATATTTAATTTGGTATATTAAAATAATTTTTTTAAATGTTGCAATAGCTAAAATAGTGTATAGCATTTCCGTTAGGAATGATACATTATCTCAGCCAGTTTACTTCTTTTACACACAACAATGCTACGTGTGTACGAATTTACACAACTGTTGATCATATTTTGTTGATTTCATTTCATTTGTTTCATTAGTGTTGGACAGCGCCAATTAGTTTGTTTGGCACGAGCTCTTCTCAGAAACTCAAAGATACTTATTTTGGATGAAGCAACCGCATCAGTCGATATGAAAACGGATAACTTGATCCAAGAAACGATTCGAACACAATTTACCAACTGTACAGTTTTAACAGTTACACATCGCCTCGGAACTATAATTAACAGTGATAAGTAAGTGTGAGGCATACTTCTCTGTATAAATCGAAAAAATAGCTCTATTTACATACAGTCTTGATAAACAAACTTTGAGACGGATAGTTTCCATGAGTGTATATACATAAGGCCGAATAACGAATTCCCAGGTTGTTCTACCTCAGGACTCATCAGCCGGATTTGGAATGTAGAGAATTATTTCATAATTTCAAATAGAACAGTTTTATCTTCAAAATTATTAATTCATATCTTATTAAATCTATACTGGCATTTATTAAAGATTTATTTACCCATATTTGTTTGATTAATGATTTGATAAACTTAAACAGCTGATCCGGTGTTGAAGCTGTTTGTCCGCAATTTCATTTTCTCTAGCTACTTGCTCGAAAATATACACTATATTCTCTCACGAGCTTATATTTATTCGCTTAAGATGATCATTTGCTTAAAAATAAAATACTGTCGAATTGACCGTGAAAAGATCTGATTGTTAATAATACTTGCATAGAAAATGAATAAAATAGAATTGCTAAAATGCTTTCAATGGGTAAGGATTAGGACTGAGAATGGAGTAGTAGTTTAAGCTCGGTTACCAATAAAGCTAACTTAACGTATCATTTTCTTGAGGTGCCCTGTTTGCTTAAAGTATATAGAGTTCAAGCAGTCTTCCACAATTTTAAATTAATGCAGTAATTACTCCTACATTGTTAAAATTCTTGACGTTAAATTTATACATATCGACTATATATATGCTGAGTAAGACAGCTATCAATCCACTTGCATTTGAATATGTGTCTATATTTGGTAAAAGTTACCACTCATAGTATGCCAACCAATCTATATATATCTGTATAGCAATAAATCACATGACGTTAACAGATTTAAATGTCAGATTTCTGTTCCTTATTAACTAATGTCTATCAAACAAGTGAAAAATAATAAATTCAGATAAAGTAATAGCGCTGGGGTTTGTTGCTTACATGGTTAAACACTAAAATTGAACCTACTGAAGGTGGAGGTGCTCATAACATACTTATTTTGTAATAACAGTAGGCAAGATACGGAAGCAAACGTATATTTTCAGGTGATCGAACTCCTATTTATTTCTCTACAGTTTATATTCTTTAACCAATCACAGAGAGTGTGATTTTGGTTTGCATTAAATGACATGAAACAGAATGTTTAAATACATAGATAGTATTCTGTTCCTGGTGCACTACTAAACTGTGGTAATAGTATTCATACGTTAACACCAGCAAATACAATGATTCTTAAAGTGAGAATAATATTCCGCTAAAACGCATTGTCTGTATCACACCACCACAATTTGATATCATTTTGCAACGTAATTCGTCAACTCTAGAGAAATTCATTTTACTCCATAGTGTAAAGTTGTCGTTAAGTAGTGATCACAGATACATTTCCACTAAAGCATTCATATTGTCAGCATGCTTAAAATTTATAAAGTACTTTCCATGTAAATATGCAAAGCAAGTGGAGTGTGACACTTCTGTTTTGCTTGTTTAAAGTTCCATCTACATTAAGGTTACGTTTGTTACTGTCAAATTTTTCTTATAATATAGCCGCTGGTACATTATAACATTATTATTTTTGATAGGCAATTTGAAATGTTCCTGATTCTGTTTATTCCTAGGATTATAACCATTGCTAATGGACATATTGTTGACTATGATACACCGAAAAATTTGCTCGACAATACAAATTCAATCCTTCATAAGATGGGTAAAGAGGTCGGTCTTATTTAAATACCCACAATATTTAAATACTCTTGAAAATAGTCTACTCAAAGATTTCTGTAACTTTGTTTTCAAAGAAATGAGTTCAGATTTTGTCCGTTTTCTTGTTTACACAAAATTAAATTATAATTTTTTGAACTAGTAGAATATCTTACTGTAATGGATCATTTTTGATCTACTTCAATGCAAATATATCACTGTTCTGAATTTTATTCTAATTTACTTTTACTTATTTTATCTGGAATGCTTGACCAAAAGTAAAATCGTTTCCTTACGTTGTTTTGAAGTGTTTTTTCATTACACTACAAGCTATGCACAATGTGTTGCTTTTTTATACTGTTCCATTCATGGCGAATGCGTTTCACTGAAGTGGTTTCAAGTAAAAATAACTATTTTCCGAAAAGAATTTTGTTGTGTAATTGGTTCACAAATTGTAAAAATAGCGAACATCACAATGAACAAATCACAAGTAAAAGCTTAGTTTGATTTCATATTGAGCACAGTATACATACATTTGTGAAATATTTACTAAGTCTGACACAGTATACCTTCTACTACTGAATGAGATGAAAAGTGCAGACCAACAGGACCTCCTTTCACGCTTTCTCTTCAGATGAAAAACTGTGGTTAATAATAATGAGACTAGGTGTAGTCTCAGGTATATGTAGAAAGTCGGTCACTGTGATTGTGAAGCTTTGTCGACTGTAATGACTAAAGCATGCGTTACACATGCTAATTCACCCCCCCCCCTCCTCGACCAATGATGTAAGCTGACGTAGGATTAGGCCCGGAAAAAGTTAGAGAATATTCAGACAGAAATATGCCGTCTCTCATTTTGCGCTTATACGATTGGAAAAAAGGCTGTAATAATAGAAGTATGGATGTGTAGTGTGCGTCTAGCAAAAAAACTGTTTATATTTATAAAATGAACCATTCAGAAGGTTTAGCAAGTGTATAATTAGACTGACTATCTTCGTCACTAACTTTATATGAGATTCATAAATTATGCAAACACATCTTTTTCTTCTGAGAAGATCTTAGCATATTCGTGGATGGGGTTTCCAGTAACAAAGCCTATCGAATTTCGAAACTCTGGTAGATTATACAAACGCAGGTTTTTAATTGTTAAAATGTATACATATGTTTCTCTAGCCCTTCATTTTGTGTTTTACAAGTCTGCACAATAATTTTGAAGTTGGGTGAAAATTAGTTTGGTAACCACCATTAAGTGCAGTGATAATAATAACGACCTGAAATTCAGAGTGTTTTAATTGTGTACATGTATCTGTATCCAGTGCAGTCAGCTTCTTTGAAAAAGTGCTTGGAATAGAGGTACATATAATACTAATAGGCAGTGCGTTGCTAGAATTATAAATTATAAAAATTAGGCTTGTGTGAATTGCTAAGGAAACACCATCACTCAGGAGAGATTGCAGATGCACCCAGCTGACGAGCCCCGTGGTCTCGAGTAGGATGAAATGCATATCCTGGATTCCACTGCTAGCCACTATCTATCAAATAACTTCCTTAGGTGGTCTAATTACGGTATAGAAGCATAGAAAAGAAAGTTAAATCCTGATTATTCAAACAGCACTCTGAACAGTGAACTATCTGTATACATTTAGTCACCTTTGTGGGTTTTTAGTATCAGAGTTGAACGTTGCAGACTGAGATAATGTAACTTTCAATATGGTATTTTCTTTGTCTCGATGTAAATATCAATTTTTTGCAGCTAAATGTACAGACCTTATTTTTGTAACACACAGCTTTGCAAAAGTAAGTAGGGTTGCTTTTCTTCTTAAATTTAATCACAGTCGTAATGAATTATGAGAGCAATTCGTTATCGTTCCTAAATAGAAATCTCTTGGTTTAGCATCTCTCTTTGACTTTCTAAAATTTAGGAGAAATTGTTGGTTTCTGATGATAATTAGTACCAATACCGCTATGGAAAACGGCGAGAAAACCTAGTCAAGTCAAGAAATGGCAAACTAGTCTTACTGAGTCTTGAGAAGGTAGACAATCACGCGCATAAGTTTGTGTAGGAACTATTTCGACCCAAATGTGGATAAAATTTATTTTGATAAATTCTCACAGCATTATATAGTAATAATTAATGATGGAATTATACTCTACCATAGTGCACAAGTTCTATTCTCATATTTCAACCCAACTTTTTAAATCATTCATTTGCGAAATTATAAGGGCTTTTTTAAATATAAATTTCACTGAGTTAATAACACTCTCAGACTTCTATATTCCATTATGCATACAACTAGAAGGTTGGGAAAAATCTGGTCTTTGATTCATTGACATCTGTTTATAGCTTTGGAAGATATCAGCCTGATGAATATAAATGTAATTGCTAACCTTCATCAGATCGGTAGTATTGCTAAGAATGAAAAAGAAGGTCAGCAGTATGATTCTGTGCAAGGTGCTGTAGGGACCGTTACATAAGGTGGTAAGATTCAAAACTACTTTTAATGATACTGACGAGTTATCCATCAGTTACGTAGTCATTAGTTTGATCACCTCATCAAATTATTTGTTAACCAGCGAATGCTTACATGACACACCAAAATAGATTTTCTGTCATTATTATGGTAGATACTTCGTAATACTTCGATTGTGCTTCAAGATAAGTGGCATACACTAGCTTCATAGTCTCACTTATATGATGCGACTTTCTGAGAAATTACCAGTTACACAAATATCGAGATGGTGCTTGTGGTTATAACGAAACCCTTTTTGTTCTAGACCATTACCCCTCCTGCAATGAAATTTCTTACGAATCATAAATTTACACGTCTTTTCGATAAAGGTAGCACGCAAATTATCAGAACCATGTGGTTATTCTCATTCATGCACTGCGTTCTCAGATTTCTCAGGAAATCAACATTTGTTTCGTGAAAACGCTTAAGGAGAGGTCTTTGGTGATTTTGTTACTGACTTATCTCAATGATATTATTTGTCGGAAAAGTAGGCAAAATTTTTCTTCAGTTCCTTATATCACTCATATGACTGACATACATATCTGAAACTACAGGGTAAAGTGTAAATGATTCATACAGTGAATTAACTTATTCTATTAATTCACTTCTGTCCTTCAATACTGGAATGTGTTGAATGTTTAAGTGTTTTTTAAATGACAGTCTAGATTTGGCAAAGAGCTTAGTATGTATATACTGCATAAACAGTGTATATAAGTGTCCCTATTTTCGTCCGCTGTAGTCTAAAATATGAATTAATGCAAAACTTAGATTACCTGTGGCTTCTCTGCTCATTAACTTCTAACATTTAATACCATATCACATGTATTACAAAGTGAAGATGGGTGAGACATACCCTGAGGAAACATTTGAATAACCTCAAACATAGGCCCTCGAGTGGGACTCGAACTGGAAGCTACACGTTTGGCATGGAATGCAAGCTCAAGGACAATTGTAAAGGCCAACAAAAGAAGACAACAGAGAACAGTGAAATTTAGATGTACTGCTGATGCGATCTCTAATATTTGCTTATTTGATATGTACAAGCGAGAACCTCAGATGTCTGACGAAATCAAAGCTTCATCTTATTTTATTTAATTGTTTAATATGTTTAAGTTAATGACTTAAACATATTAAACAAAGTACATTATAGAAGGATAAGAATGTATAAGATTTCAAATATTTGTAATTAAACAAGTTCTACGTTTTCATGGAAAGTGGTCTTTAAATAAAGATTGTTTTTTGTAAAGGAGACACAAATGAAGTTGGAAAGGGAAACCTGGCTATCTGCAGCATCCAGTCATTCAGAAAACCACCAAAGATCAAGGAGCACTGGACAGCTAACTGAGACTCTTTATTAGTTCTCTAACTAGTACTGGTCCAACTCATGCAGTCAATCAGAGACTTCATTACAAAACAAGGACAGTTTTCCTTTAAATTTTACAAAGTAATTTCATTTTCGTCTAGTTCAGTAAAGATTAATTATTGGTTAACCTTTCTCTTATGTGAAAATTAGTTCAATCTAATCCTCCTTTCACTTAGTCGAATAAAGCTTGATGACTTCACATGTTGATAAGGTATTCACCTTAGAAATACTACATCATATATAGTATTAAAAAATGACTTTGCCGTTCACTTTGTGCAGACTGAATATTTTGAAATAGATTTGCAAAAATTATTTTAAGAAAGCACAATCTATGTAAATTTACTTCTCGACAAGATGTTTGTCTCCGTTTGTTACATCACAAACATGGCAAAGCGGTCAGTATTTCGGGGAATTACATGTATATATATATATATATATATAATAAAGGACTAAATCCTTTGTCGAACCAGAATGATGTAAAGAATATACATGATACACATTTGAACAAGTAAATCTACCTGTTTTAACAACATACATGCTGGCATGAAAAATAAGAAAGCTCAGTTTCTGTTGGCAACACATGATAAGTGGAAAAGAAACACAGCACGTGACCATATTTGGTGGTCTAGCTGATAACGTGGATTATCTTAAATGTAGAAGCATGGTGACAATATAATTATATATATATATATATATATATATATCGCAGAATTCTTAACAAGGCAGGAATAAAAACGGCATTCAAACCCACAAACTAAATTAGAAACAATTTAGTTTATCTAATACCCTGCAATGATTGTCAGATCAAATACATAGTTCAAACTAGTAGAACAGGGGCAGTCAGACTAGCCGAGCATAAAAGCCTAGCAAAATCTAGATTGTTTTACCCGAATAAGATAAGAAATCTAGAGAATAGTTCAGCTACAGCACTACATGCAGTCACACACAACCATACAATAGGATGGGATAGGATGACAGTTTTAAAATCTAATGTCACAGGGTATAGGGAGAGATTGATAACAGAAGCTTTGTTTATCGAATCAACTACAAATACATATAATAGGAATGATTTAACACCTGTCCAGTTGGACATCTGGAGAATTCTTCTACCCTAACGATGACAAATAGGAGAGAACAAAGAAAACTATAAAACTCAAGTGTCAAAGTCATGTGATCACAATTGATATGATTATGAACAATAAATTTTGTTCGAAACGTCATCCAGTAAATAATACTGTTTCACTGTGTGATATACCTAATAAAGAAACTAATATGGAATTATTTTCACTTGATTTGATTGGTAGTAATATTTTCC